ACAAAAGAGAATGTAGAGTAGTTAATCCAAAACACTGTACGAATAGAAAATCCTAGCTAAAATATAATTTACCTAAGAAAAACAATATCTACATCACTGTTGTCTGTTCATTTACTTACTACAAATCAGGCATTTTTTAAACTTAAAAAACCTTATTTTTATCTCCATTTTTACAATGATTTTTGGATGGAACAACTTTTCTCTCATAAAGTGGTTTCTGTATTTTCTGGGCTGAAAGGCTGTAGGACAGCAAGCTGATCTCAGATGACAACATTTATGAAAGGTCTGACAGTTTTTCTCTCCATTATCCTTCAGATGACATTTCTTTAGAGTGCTTTAGAGGAACAAAGCATGTGTTGTTTAAGCAAGTTCCCTGAACAATGGTACTGCTTCTTAACAGTGGCAGACTTATGTCAGAAAACAGAAACGTTAGAAGGCAAGAAGCCAAGCAGGTTAGTAAGGTAATAAAATATGCTCAGCAGCAATTAAGCTGTGAAAGGGTCTAGCTACACAGTGGAGAGACAGAACTGAAAGTATTTGACAGTATCCTTAGTGAAACTGAATCTTCAGATGAATTTTACCAGTAAATCTAAATGTAAATGATACAGCTTAGAAAATTCCCTACAACCCACTGGATCTTTGACTTGGACCATTTTTGTCTTTCCCTTTGTGAATTATGAAGACAAAAAAATAATCAGTGAGGATAGTCCCTGAATTCAGGGGCAGAACTACATTCACTCAGACAAAATAGTGCATCCTTCACACTTAGGGTAGAAGCCAGAACCACAGTTTTTCACCACGTCTAGAGGACTCCTGAGGAAAGAGGATTTTGTTTTCAAAGCATTATTTCTAGCTTAAACTATTTTGATGCTCTATGTTTCAATCCACAGCAACAGCTATTCTTTGGCAGGCAGAGCTTTCTGTGTCTGTCTTTCCCTATCTGAGGGACAGTGAGAGAACACCAAGTCTCCTAGCCAGTATATTCATACTCAAAATGTTCAAAACCAAATCTTTTTAAAATTTCAATGTTTTTTGCCCAAATAACCTCAAATTTTGAACTTGTTTGTTGTTGAAGCTGTGTTTTCTGATCTGTTTCAACATCAGTATAAAATGACATTTATTATTAATTTATACTGCAGCCACCAAGTCTACTTACTTTGACAAGCAGGAGAGCTTAGAAATAGCTATTGGAATTGATGAATGACAAAATAAATTGGCTACAGGAAACAAGTAAAGTTTGGCAATATTAAACAGAAATTTGTGTGCACGTTTTTGGACATTCAAGTGAAAAGAGGAACAGTTACCTTATGTATTTTTATATGGCAAATGTAGTTTTGCTTTGTTTGGCTTTCATTGAAACATTTTTGCACCATATAAATGTGCCTGGAAGTACCGAGAACCACAATGTGGCTCTGGGAACTAGTAACAGAAGCCTGCGTGGCTATGTATCTGTTGCTCACAATCCAGCTAGAGGCGCTGCCCTCAACTCACTTCTGCAAGATTGGGCTGACCACCACCTCCTCTTGGGCTCTCTACACTGAGCTAATGCTTGGGGTACTGCAAGGTGATAGAGACACAATCCTGAGCTTCAAATAGGCAGAGGCTGTTGATATCAGCAGCACAAGCTGGCTGCAGACACGTACTGCAGCAGAGTCACAGCTCTTCAGGACAAAGTCAGGCATGTCCGGCACAACAGCTTCAACCTCAAAAGTCAGAAGCTCCCTGTCTATATCCTGGTCAGCACCCTCTTTGCCACCCTTGCTTTGAAGATTGGTCATTGCACCTCCTGACCACCATCTTCTGGGCAAGCTGGAACAGGACAGATTTCCAGCCCTGCAGATGGTGAGACGGACTGTGCTGATCACCCTGGACATGGAGAAGACACTGGTCAGTAGACAGCTGGAATCGCTCCTGCAATTTTTCTCCACAGGAAAATCACACCTGGACGAGCTGTGCCTCATACAGATGAGAAGGCTGCTGCATGGATGCTTGAAACAAACATTCCTGTGACAACCTGGACGGTGACCACCTGGCCTCTCTGACATGGCCCATTTGCTCTAGGAACTTTGGCCTCTACAAAATATTCAATAAATAGTTTGTATGAAGAAATGCTGACGGTGAGTGGCTTTCTCAAGGCTCCCCCTAGTTTCCTGAGTCAGCTGCCCAGTACCACAGTGAGATGGCTTTAGAATATTGCCAAGATGCCACAGTCTCTCTGGGCTGCTCCTTCTTAGCACAGCTGAACGAAACCACCTTCTTCCATTCTCAACCACTTGCTTTTTCACTCAGATCAGTTTCTGCTTCATGTTTCCAGCTGATCCCTGGTACTCAGGCTTAAAACACGCTTGAAACTATACGGAGTTGCCCAGTATGTACCTCCCTGAAGGAAACAAGGCATTGACAAAGCTGAGAAGGAGACTAAAGAGCTAGCTATAAAGTCTGTTCAACCATCTTTCTTATAACTGAGGGCTACAGAGCCTTGGGTCACTGTCCGCGAAGTTCTATGAGGAATCGTTTCTGGTTTTGTAGGAAATGTTGGAATCTGGAAAATGTGACAACAGAACATCCAACAGCTGCTCCTCTTTCACAAACAGATTTGCTCTCAATGCTGGAATTGTTTGTATACTTCCCACAACAAAAAATGACAAGTCCACAAAACAACAAGGTCTTTCTATGGCCTATATATATGATTGCAAAATGCAGGCAAGGATTTCATACCTTAGACAGCTTGAGATATTCCTTCACTAGGGTTCAGCTTGCACTACCATGCAGATTTCATGATATGAAATTTAGAATTGGCACAGATTCAGAAACTGAAATACCACACCTGACAGAGTTAGGCAAAGTAAGCAAGATACTATGAGAACACTGTAGGGGCTGTTTTGGCTTGGGCAACTTTATAGTGTGCTTTTGCAATCACTGCTTATCCTCTACAGCTGGATAGAAATATGGAATCCCTCATTTTCATGCATTATTCTTTGTCAGGCTATTTAATGAGCTTTGTATTGGTCAAAAGGACTAACCTTTTGGTAGTTGTGCAAGTAGTTTCAAAAGATGTAAGCAATTTGTTAATTCAAGACATCTTATTCTAGTCTTACATTGTGCTTCTTATTTGAAATATCAGTCCAATTTCTAGCTTGCTAACATGCTTACTTTTGTGCAACTCTAGCAGTAGAGAGAGACTGCTCTACAGAGAGATGGTCTTTGACACTATTCAGAAAAACATCCATCCTTGCAAATGAAGGTCAGGAACATCTAATGAGAAGTAAGCTTATGGCAGCACAGTATTTTGAGACACGAAAGTAGTGTTCCATATACAGAACCCAAAAGGTTACTAAAAAAGAAAAGATTCTCATTTTTGTACATGATAACTAGGATGTTTTCACACAAAATGATATACAGGAGTACAACCATTGAGAACATATCTCTGCCCTTTTTCAGAGTCTCTTCTGGACCATAAAACAGACAATAAATTGAAGACAGTTAATTTGAGGCAGAAATGCTTTTGCTCCTTTATTGATCATGACACATAGTTTAAAACAGGCACATGTAAAGCAGATGAAAAAAAGCCTTTAAAAAAAAAAAAAAAAAAAAGCACTGGAACATGAATAAAATCAGAAAAAAAGAGTTGCACATATGCTACCCAGCAATATAGTAAGATTGCACTTGAAAATATTTGAAATCTTATGTGAAAAGAAAAGAGACTGATTGTAATGAACACTACCAGAAATGACTACAAATACTGTCTTATAAAACCATCAATTTATGTTCAAATAAATTATTTGCAATATCATAAAAAGATCATAAAAAAGCTCCAAGGCTTGCCACAACATCTGGCCCATTTCCTGAAAATCCTTGCAGTGGGGCTGAGAGAAAGTCTCTGGAATTATTTTGATGGCCCACATGCTCATTCTGCCTCTGAGTTTCCCGACGCAAATCTCTTGTGCATGTGTATAGGATCATGTATTCATATGTTTTGCCCTCTGGTGACGCCACAACAGCTCACCTGGCTTATTCTCATCACAGCTCAGGCATCTCTCTGCATTCTCAACAGTCACACAGACTGACACTACAAGAAAATAAGCTGTTCCGTGAATTTTTACTACAGCTATCCTGTTCTCATCACCTTAGCTAACAAAGAACAAATCGCTTAACACAGATCTTGTGTGAGAGGCTCACCAAGTTTGGTACATCTTTACTCTGTGCTTAGTCTTTCAAATAAGGAGAAAAAAAGATCAATCGTACACATGAAAAATAAGCTTGCTTTCTTTTAAAAATACACATTTGAAGTTCTTGGCAGTTGCATTATTTTTATGAGTGCACAGATTTACGTACGACAAAATTAGCTATCTCTTGCTTTACATTCACTGCATCACAATATTTACAGTATGTCCCAAGACAATAGCTGTGTTGCAAAACAATATTAAGTGATATAATAAAAAAATTAATAAAGATCATGCTTTGCTTGCAGCTATTCAGTTGATGTGGAAAACCAGGTTATAGCTGATGAGATGGAAAGAGCGATCACCATAGCAACAATTTACCACTTAACAATGAAGGGGGAAGGGTGCATCCTCTTTGGCTACTTGCACATGTAAACAGCATTAGTTCAAAATTCTCAAGTTCAGCTATGTTTTTTGTTCTTTCAGTAAGACATGCAGTAAAAATTTGTGCTAATTAGTGTGCTACAGCATTACATACAGAATCATATGTTACTCCTATTAGGAATGATAAGAAATTCAGTAACAGAATAAGAATATGATGATGATTTTAATTAAAAATCCTCCTTTGTAGCTGTCAAATAAAAGTATATCTTGTTGAAGAATAACATATCCTAATGAAGTGGTGATACGTCAAAAGCATAAACTCCTTACTTTCAGCAACCTAAATAATGTATTAAAGAAAACTGATATATTATCAACTTATTTTAAAATAAATCTTTTTGTTAAAATAATTAATATTGCATACCTATCACCAAAACAATAATATGTTTTGGCTGATTTAAAAAATATCATTTTTGTGCACTTTTTTTTTTCTTTTTCTTTTGGAGTTATCTGTCTCCTGTCAGTGAAAGGGTGTGTAAATTAAAATACATTTTCACTGTTTTTTCCTGAGTCTGTTCCTACCCTTGCACACAAAAACACTTCAACATTTTAACATGCGTCACCCTGAAGTTTACTTCATCATATTCAATTCTGTCCATGCTGTTTAGATACACTCCAACTAAAAAACAACAACGGAGATGAACTGTTTAGCTGCCACTGAAGGAAATGGAATGATACAGGAGCCTTCATAGCTGTGAAAGGCCTTTGAGGCAGGCACTAAGCTCATCCACTCATTATTTTACTGGGTACTTCTCTTGCATTCATGCAGCATGCACACTTTGTCCTCAAAGCACCTTGGTAAAATAGGGAGGTTTAAACTGCTGCCATTTTATACAGAACACGGATTGAGGGGAAGGCATTATGAAGCCCAGCAGTGCAGCATTTAAACAGGAGGAATTCCTGATGCTTAGAACATCTCATAGTGAATGGGAACATACCTGGTGCATAGATTAGGCGCTGAACAGTGCATTAGAACACGAGGAATCTTAAATCTACCTGCAGGAAATGCTAGGAGATGTATTCAGTTTGCCCGCTGTCATCTGGACTTATATGAGTCTGTGATAATGAGTTTCAAGACCCACATTTTTTTCCTGAATTTAAGCTTTTCATCTACCACATATGTATTTTAATATGGGTCAGTATTTAGAAAACATTGCCAAAGGCAAAGTCTGCAACGCTGTGCATCTTTTGTGTCTCTGTTGGTGATTAGGACACTGAAGTGTGAAACCTGAGGTGTGGGTGCCTGCTCTCAGACTGAACCTGACTTACATGCATATCAGCAGCATGACATGGTGCCAAGCTGAAGGGGTCTTTTGTGGAAAACAGTTCCCACTTTTCTGGTTGAATCCTAGGCACTCTGCTGCCAGGATTACAAAACTAGTGAGTCCAAAAGGACAGAAGGAAAGAGAGGAACGTGATTTAAAACAAACAAAAGAAAACCAACAAAAAAAGTGCCCCAATCCTACAAAAGAAATATTCAGCACTGCAGGGGCACCACTAACTGTATGAGATTGCTTGACCTTTAGTCAGCAAACATATGCTGCATTGCATACTTCAATGAAGACGTGGCTAAACTAAAAGTGAAAGAAATATTTTCAATACACTGCTTAAAAATGGCAGTGTAACAGAATGAATGCCTTTAAATAAACTGCCCAGCATAAGAGAGATTTCAGAGGAAGTGTGTTGAATGTTAGAGATTGACTGGGAGTCAATTACACTTCAAAATGGTCATTTTCAGGTATCAAAATAAACAAAACAAAAAAAAGTCTTAACATTATCTGTAATATATAAGTAGTTCAACTCAAAATCCAGTTAAGAGAGAAGGCAAATCTGTGCAGAGCTGATTAATTATTTTAGAAACAGCTCAGAAAAGTCAGGAATGATGCACTCAAGTATTTATTGCAAAAAGAGTTCTTGATGAAATCTCCCTGTAAGAAGGAGGTGTCAGACTAGTCCCTGTGATCAAAGTAACTTAAGGAGAGGGAAAAAAAATATATAACTAGCAGTATTATTATAGAAACATAAAGAGGATTTTCACATACAAACTGTGTAATCACCTTCAAATGCTAAGCAAAATACTAAAAAAAGCTTGCAAAACAAACAAAAAAATGCACTACAAAAGAGAGACAAGATAAAGCACTTAGAGGTGTCAGTAGTGTGGCTGCATGAAAGCACCCCAGGGATAAAGGGATCAACCCTGCTCCTGCTGTCACATGAAAACTGCATGCAAATAAGTAATTCCCTGACACAGGGCTTAGATATCCAGAACACTACAAATGTAGATATGGCTGCAGTATAACAGTTGAGACATAGAATAAACATAGCCACATCTGTTTTGCTTGAAGCCTGCTTTTTTTTCAGTGCAATCAGCCACACAAGAGGCATTGCACCTGAACACTGCTGGGCCTCATCTAAATACGCAGACATGCTTCTTTCCCATATGGCAACAAGATGCTGCTGATGCTCAATGCTCAGGAAGATGGAAAGGCAGGAATCCTGCTCTCCCATTACTGCTAACTCTCTTCTGCATAGCGTGGGCAGCATCTAAACAAACTGGTGTGCTAATGCAGGGAACTGACTACAGAGAGCTTGAATGGTGGCTCCTGACTCCCCCACTTCACTAGATACACAGCGTGGACTGTGAGCGATGCCAATGCCCAGTCAGTCTGATGTTTCCCTTTCTATGTTATTTCCATCCAGTAAATCCCTACCCACTCTCAGCTGTGTTTGAGAACTCTTCGTAGTCAGGAGTGGGCTGCTGTCACTAAGACAATTCATCCAGCCGGTTCCCAAGCTCTCTTGTTCAAGGACACTTGGGAACCAGCTGCAGACAGCCCGAACTGTCACCCCCACTCTGAGTATATTCTTAACATCTTCTAGCTTTTGCATCGCCAAGACTTTGGCACATGATCTTACAGCGACAAAGGTAAAACTCGAAAGTGAAATACAACCCTGAAAGAGAAATTCCTGTAAGAGATCTTCTTTCCCTCACCCCTTCTCACCCTACATTTTCATGACAGGACAAGATGGAAAAGAGGAGAAAGATTTAGAGGAACAGGTGCACAGCACAGTACAAACCTTACCATGGTCTACAAATAAGCTAAAGGAAATAATAGTAGAAATGTAGAATGACAACACAGCTAATCTTTCAAACTGAGCAAATTTAGGACAGTATAAGCAAACATCTCCCCTGTTCCATCGATTGTTCAAAATCCCTGCAACTGGAAGAATGTGCAGAGGAGCCAACCAGCACCCAGCAAAGCTGGGATGAACTATGACAAGTGGGGAAATACAACTTCACAAAGGAAACATGCACCTCAGAAACACTCCTTTATAGAAAAGCGCTGTATGACATGTAGAGAAGAAAAGATCAGAAATGGTTGGACTTAAGTGAAATGTCAAGACAGAAGAAGAAAAAAAATTACAGCAATTTGTTAAACACTTAGCAAAGCCTAGCAACCACAAGCATCATTACTAGACAGTGCTGCAGCTGTTCGTTCAACTGCTAAAAGAAAAATTGCTCAAAGACACGGGGAGAATCAGAGCAGAGGCACGTATTGCAATTCTGACAGTCCTATTCAGCAGATACATTCATATCTTTAATTTGGCTTATTTGCTTATGACAGAAGTAAGGAGGAAATGCGCTGTGTTCATATACTAAGGTGCTTTCTACAAGGAGACAGAGGAACCCTCATACCCAGTCTATGCGGAGCATGGCTGCTGGCACTGCACTGCCTCTGAAAGGTCTGTTAATAAATATTTGCTTAGTATATCGTAACTTGAGTATAGGAAAGAAAATGTATCCTCCATATTAGTGCACTATAGATGACCTCTACAAACCTCACATACATTTGCCGGCAAAACAGAGAAGACCACTGCTCCCTTTCTCAGGAGGAACAGGTTCCTCATACTGCTTCCAGATCCATTTAAAAGGACAACTCAAGTTTCTGACCAATCTCCCCTCACAGCCCACATAGAAAACACCAAGATGTTCACCCCAACAGAAACTACTGCAAAGAGGCCACCTATTTGTACAACTTCTTGTTTTTTAATCACAAAAGCAACTGAATTGCTTGTAGTACATTGAGAGTTAATAGAACAAGGAAATATTTTAAAGTACAGCAGTTTATTACAAGGACAGGTCACAACAGATCTGGAATAATTTCAAATCTGTACATATTTACACATAGAAAACAGACCTTGGCCTCTTTATCACACAGCCTATGCATATTTTTTTTTAATCCTCAGTGTAAAATCTCAGGACCTGTCCTTCTCATTTACTACAAGACAGAGTTTGCAATATTTGCAATGAGATATTCCACTTAGAGGCTCCAGGTGTGTTTACATGAAGTAGCATTTCAGGGCTCAAAGCAGAATTTCTGTCTACAATGTGTAAAATGTATCTGCCAAAAGCTTAGAAATTTGAAATTGTGTTTCTGTACTGTAAGACAAAGGCTCCTGTTCTGTAAGAGATAATAATGTATTCAAGAAGGTGGAATTGAAAGAGATTTTTTTTTCCTGTCAAATTTATTTCATTTTTTCTCTGCAAGAAGCTGAAGAATGTGAATTACAGCTTTGGAAATAAATATATATATATTTTAATAGGTTTCAGTATGAAAGCTTTCAATTTGGCTTATTTTAAGAAAATGAAATCCCATCTGCACATTACAGACACTCTGTTTCTGGATTTGCAGGATTAACAGTACAGTCCATTACCAATGGACACAGATGAAGAAAATTTTGAAGAGATGAACTATCAGACACGTGGGACTTCACCAGCATTGGATACAAAAGAAAGCTCACACTCAGTGGACAGTCACATAAAATCATCTCAGAAAGTTTTGAATTTTGAAGTAATTGGGAGCATTGGCTGCACAAAGGTACAGGAAAACAATAAGACGCTGAAAAAAACAGCCTAATCATAGCAAAGCTAGGTGCTTCATTTCAGCATAAAAATATCTTTCCATGATTAATGACTGTCATTTTTTCTTCATGCTTTTATTGGCATCACATTCTGCCCAATTTACAATTCCGATCTTTCTCCTAGCTTATGAAGTGGAGGCTGTGGGTCTTTTTCTTAAGCATTAAATCATTCTTAGATATTTTCACATATACTTGTGTTTTTAGTCAAAACATTTATATTTAATGTAAATGAGAAAATCTGACAGTCTGGGTGGGGCAGGGCATAGGTCATCATCTCAGGTAGGGTGATCATCTCAGATGATGAAATGTTGTCCATAGAAGTATTTCTTTTTTAGCTCCTGTTCAGTACAAAACTAGTGACTGCATGTCTGTAACACACTGGTGCGTGATGTTAAGCTCTTCCTCTGTCTGTCTCTATGCGTGCCTAAGACACCTGCCACAAAATGCACTGGAAGCCAACACAGCAAACAAGTTTCTAAGCACAGCCCCCACGTTTGATTCTACTTCTTTTAAAGTTCAGCATAATGTTACAAAGTAAACTTATAACAAAAGCATATCATGTCTCATTCAGCAATTACAAAGACAATTACTGAATAGTTTCTGCTTTAAAGTTCAAGGACAATTGAGTAAGGTTTAACTTCCATGATACTATAAAGCTTTGCAAATTATTTCCCCTACATATGAGAAGATACTTCGGTGCTACAAGGCATGTTTTGCAGAAGGCTGAGCTGCATTAACTAGCTTCATTAGAAAGCCAGATATTTCACACAGTGTAAAAACAATAAAATATTGACAAAGGCAACAGTAGAAATAGATCTGAAATAACATGAAAATACAAACTTGTAACTCTGTATAATTAGTATGATTGAAGTACCCAAAATATTTGCAAAATACATTTTTAGAAATTAAAACAGATAAAATTCATTAATAATATTCCTGGAAATAAAAGCATCTAAGTTATTAAAGAATTTTAAGGGCTTTACTATGTTTCCCTACATAGTCACCAAGGAAATCCAGGTTCTGCATCTCCATGGACACCTCATGCATGCAGAACACACACATGCATGATACTGCATCCAGCTCAGTACTTGGGGGGTTGCTGACATTATAACAGAAAGACAAAATATTTTGAGCACAGTAGAGAAAAGGCAGTCTGAAAGTGATGTTATTTGCTGCGTGGAGGAGCTTTTATTTTGGAGGAGAGCTACACATGAAAAACAGTACAGGAGCCTTCAAACACATGGCAAACAGTCCATTACACGGCACGTCTGCTGTCAACCTTTCACAAGTGCTCTGTTGGCAAGCACCCCAATCAAATGCTTATTCATCTGGTACCATTACCATAGATGTCTCCAGAGGACAGAATGGCACGTCTCAAATATATTGCCTACAGTGATGCTTCTGAATTATGACTTCACATCAGGGCAATCAAGCCTGGCTACAGAATGCACTGCTGAAGATGGATTTCAACTAAAACTGCAGGATTTGGGTTTTTTTAAGCACTATATTTGGGTTAAAAAACAAACAAACAACAATAACAAAATCAACAAACAAGAGAAAAATCAACTTTGGAAAAAAGCAAATAACACATGCTGGGTAAACAGGATTATAGGCATCATTCCTGATCAGGCATTGGTCTATTTTATTCTCTTGCAATCCTCCATGGCACGTAAGAAATTACCACCTTTAGCAAACAGCCAGCTGGAGTGTACTGCAGGTAAGCATTCATGGCACAATAGACATTATAGTCTTCTCTTTGTCCTGAGAGTTGAGAAGGACATTTCTGAAGAAAGGAAGCCTAAATCCTCCTTCCAAGTGTAGAGAAGAAATAACAAAAAGGGAAAAAAAAAAAAAAAAAAATCACAAAAAGTTTTTTGTTTTTTTTCAATTATTATTTTAGAGGCTTCTGTCCTCTTCCTCAGGACTACGAGTGACACAAAGTTATTGACAGTATTCTTCCCTAAACTGACTTTTGAGTTTTAGTCTTCATTCTGTGTCATTCTGCATATCGTAACATGAGTAACTTCTACAAAATGTGGGGCTTCCATACAACAGTCTTTGAACATTCTGAATGTTCTCAGAAGGATTCTGAGCACTCCCCATTCCTCGTGTGCTTCCTGTATGAATGAGGAACAAGGAGGAGTGAACAATCCTGTTGGGAGAACAGGAAGATGCTAATGATGGGATATAGAAGAATAAATAAGCAAGATACTCACTTGACAAAATAGAGTATTGGGCAGCAGAAAACATGCACAGTGTGCAGCAAAAAGCCATCAGTGCACTGGATCTGATTTTATTCTGAGAAATTTATAATGTCTCCTTCACATTTACAGTAATATCACAATAATTCATAATCAAGACTACTTTTTTCAGTATAAAAACTGTGGTGGGTAAAACATCTGAGGTCAAGAAAGATGAAGAAGATTTAATATAAAAAGATAAATTCAGTGCAATTAATTAAAATAAAAAAAAAGGTTCATCGTCATTCCATCCATCTGTCCCTTCTTCCCTTCTTGACTCGAGAAGATGGTAGCAAAAGATGGTCAGGAGCAACAAGACATCAACAGCATGCTGTGGAGAACAGAAAGGCACTCCTTTGCTATTTTTGAAACACCCACTCAGAGTAAAATGCATTTATTACTTTGGGTAACAGAAACTTCTGTCAATAATTTGTTTGAATAAGGAAGGATAAGAATTTAGCATTTGATATCCCTAAAAATGAAAGGCTACCCATGCCCACACATATGCACATAAATGAATATAAGTTCATTTCTTCCATCAAAATATGTCTGCAGTTCCAAGTTTGCCTCCTTTGATACTTAATATAGCTGATCAGCTACTATCAGACCTTAAAGATGATTTATTGTCCTAATGCCTTTATTTCTGAAGTCTTCAAATTTCCAAGCCCTTGCACAATATGGGTAAAAAAATAATAATCTGACAACCACACTACATAAAATAGAACTGATCTGAAACATGAGAATGCTGGTATTTAATTATGGAAAGAAAAAAGCTCCCTGCAAATACACAAAGTGCAACACCATTCTCAGAAGGGTCACTGGGAACTTGGTCACTCATTTGAGTTCTGTCAATTCCTCACAGCAAGGAAGGCAAAATCAGCCAGGACTTGCTTCTGTAATGTTATAGATATTACTCACAACATTTCTTCATGCACAGCAGTACTATAAAGGCACCCCCATATGCATGAAGTTTCATATTTTTCATTTGTATTACCAAACTACATTGACCCACTCCAGTGTGTTTGGTGGGAGAAAAACAGGGACAGTATATCTCTTCTCTACACCCTGAAAGAGAGAGTACTTCACATACAAATACATATATGTATAGAAATGCAAGTACAAATGTAAATAAATTTGGTTTTACAAGGGTTTCCATACACTAGCACAAGTTCTCAGACAAAATAACAACAAAAAGAAATGGTAGAGGACTAAGTTTTCAGCTGAATCAGTAGAGCAGACAATAAACATACATCCGCGTGCAGTATAGAGAGCCAATGATAGCACAGAAAAGATGGGTTTCTGTATCAGCTGTTAGTGGACTATATTCCTGTCAAACACTGATAAGCTCCACTCACATGCTGCCTTATTTAGTCAGACTTCTCTGCTGACACACCAATGCACAGTAACAAGTGTGAATGATCTTCCCAGTCCAGAGAGGCTTCAGTTCCTCCTTCCACTAAGATCGTAACAAATATTATATTGCTCAGTGCCACTTCCTAAGGTGTTATGAAAAGGTTTTATCTGGCCATTTAAGAACATGCTACCAGCAGTGTAACTGTATTCTCAATAGTACTTAATATGAGAACACAACTCAGAAAAATCTGAAAACCTGATCATAAAAGAAAACGCAGACGCTTTAATAATGGAGACATTTACTCTGTCCTAATCCCAAGATATTTACTTTACTATTCCACTCTTTGGAAGGCTAAGAAACATACTGCATACTGGAAGTCATGAGAAGGTGTTTAAACAAGCCTGTAGCTTGGGAATGCTATTTTAAGATTGAGCATAAATTGGCAGTTTAGCTCTGAAAAGTAATTCAATCAGGAGATTAAACTTCACATGTTTTTTACCTCATGCACCTGCACACTACTTCTGTAATCTCTTTTCCTCAAGTACTTTTAGCTGGACCTACTCTATGGTACATGACATATGTAAAGAAAACTTTTTTAGTAATGCTAAAACCCAGTATCTATTACCTTTACAACTAATTCACTGTTGTCACACACTCATAACTAGAAGATTTCTCATTTTGTTGAATATATTAAAAAACAATCTGCATTTCATGACATCACATTGCTTTTATTAATGATATCATTAATATCCATTAGCTTCTATATTGTGAATATACTCGCAACTAAACTGCTACCAGCAAGATAAATTAGCAGAGAACATACCGTGAGAGTGTGCATCTCTTCCGTTTTGTCATCATGTTTCACTTTCCTAACTTGCTAACTTGTAAAATGAAGTAATCCATGATGAATCTTTTAAGTTCTTAGCATGAATTAGCAAGATTCTGCTGTCTGTTATCTCACTGTCAAAAGGTCAGCTCCTGAACACAGAGTATACACTAAATTCTACATATTTAGCTTCCTTTGGAACTATGGCAATATATTCTATTAAAACTCACTCTATTGCATAATCCTATTAATCATGGTAGTTTAAGCACTCATTCCCTAGCCTATCTTTTTAACGGAGCCTAAATGGCATTCACCAACGTAGAAGCACACCAGTATTCATCAGGTATTATTCTTAAAGTAGGCTAGATTATGCAGTCTTTCCCTTCGCACAAGTTGAGAGTACATATACAAACTTGCCTAAAGAATATGCACAACACAGTGAAATACTGAGCAAGTGTGCTCCACAACTGGAAGATGGGCAGTTGTACAAGGGCAGTCCTGACTGTGCGCTGGTTGCCTCAGCTGGAAGGAGCCTCCAGAAACAAGGACGATTTTCCACAATACCACAAAAATACAACAGATTCACTGCCTCAAAGAGACCAAGCTTGTTGGCTTACTTTATTCCCCACTTTGCATTGCCGTCCTTGTAACCTGGCCACATGTTTCTAACTCTGTTCCTCACCATAACTGATTTGCTGAAAGATCACACTGAAGTTTGTGGTGTGCTTGGAGAGTAAACTCATGTAGCCAAGATCAGCTGTGCACCTGATGTCCAGCTTGTGGCCTAAGGGGACACACAATATGTGGCTGACAAGGCCAACTCACCTGACCCACAGGCAGCACTGGGCTGAACGAATACTTGGGGGAAGAGCAGCATGTGAGTAAGCTGCTGATTGAGTTATTCAGGAAGTAACAGCAGCCCACTCTCGATCAAGATCCTTCCCATTGCTCCTCTTTCATACAGCTGTCTGGTTGTCACTACCAGGATTTCACAGCGCATTCCATGCCTGCCACTGAAGACCCTTTGGGACACAAGCACAGCTGGGAGCCAGCTGGCTGAGCAGTTCTAGCACCCTCCTTTCTCTCAGGAGCTTCTGTCCCACCACATGTGCAATGAGCCACCCAGCATGCCCGGCCGCTAGCAAAGCGGTATGCACACATAAGCAGGGAAATTTGGCACCATGATTTTGATGGCCTTCCAGAAACATGGACAAGCAAAGCTGAGGCAAACAAACCATGCTGAATGCTTTTTATTTTCCCATATCAGCTAGTAGGCTGAGGATCTTTGCAACAGAAAAACAAGTTCATTCCAAAAAGAAGAAACAGCAACCCATATGATCAGCTATTTCCAATGTAAACCATGTAATCTATAAATTATTTTTCTCACAAAGATGCAAAACCAGAAACGAGATCCTCTAGTAGAGCAATAAAAACTAAATTGTATCCTCAGTTAAGCTTTTCAAAGCAAAGCCTCCCTAATTTCCAGAAATATAGATATCCTTAGTAACTGAGCTGGTTTATCTTTCTAGAATAAATTCTGTCACTCCCACTTGTACTAAGCCTCATCATACTGAAATCTCAGGATTTTTTGGGACAGCGTGCAGAATGGCACAAAATTCAGCAGGAGTAACAGGAGACAGAATGTGACACATTGACTCATTACAAAAGCTTTAGAGTTTGGAAAGAGAAGCCACTGCATCACAGGAAGTTCTATTAATTCCTCTGCAACTCATAAAATAAGCCCAGAATTTTAGTCTTCCTGGGGATTAGGAAGAGCAGACACCTAGGGCTGCACGCTTAGAACTTGAAGGTTTTTGCATTGTTAACTGGGCTACCTTTGTACCTTCAAGTCACCATCTCCCACAGTACTCAACTCATAAAGAACACTGTTCCATCAGTGATGTCCTGGCATCACTAAGACCAACGGGAGTTTTTCTGTTAACGTCAATGCTCAGTATTTTCAGCAATGGATTACATGAAGAATAAATTAAAAATCTGACAGATTCCACCCATCCTTTTGTTTTCTAAAGCTACAGTTTAAATGGGTGATAAGCCAATAAAGTGCTCTTTGATTCAAACTTCAGAAAGTCATGTTTAGTCTTTTCCTAAAAAGAGTAACATCACATGCATCATTTTAAAATAAAGTGGTATTTTTAAAACCTCTCGAGAAACCTTTCCCCCTACACCTGCTGAGTTGCAGGTTCCCCTCCTCAGAAACAGCTGAGTATCAACAGTGATGAGTTCCTGATCATCGTACGCAAGATGACAAGTAAACTAGGTTTGATCATTTCAGTCATTCTATGTGTGTACAGTGGACAAGCCCCAGAGAATGTACAACCAAAGATAGATGAATTTTTTGTACCGTTGGCATTGATTCTGATGAACCCTGAGCAAATTAATATACTGGATGTATTGGAGTATTTGAACAAATGATGCCCAATTATCTTTCAGGATGTTCTCATGTCCTGTAGCCAGCTGGCTGTATGTAGTTTTTTTCCCTTACATGCTAATTGATTGCTCTGATGATATCATTTCCTTTCTCCATGCATTTGTTTTTTTTTTCTTTTTTCATTATAGCTACACAATAGAAAAACAAACAGTGGAACGGATGTAGCTGCAGACTAAGGTGATGCTTTGTTGACCTTAGGATAGGAGCTAACTCGTCTCAGCACATTCGCAAAGATGGGCTCTCGCAGCCCGACCATAGGCAATGTGATTGTAGGTAGCAGTTCTGCCACAATACAACACCAGTCTCTTGCAGCAAAGAAAAAAAGCCGGCAATTTATAAATTTATCTCATCGCACAGTTTTGATCAGTTAATTATCTGCCCTTTTAAAATGAGCCCCTTTTTCCCTTATTCACCAATGCACAAAATCCTTTGAATTATACCATCTACTTCTACCAGCACTATTTATGCACTCAAGTAGTGAAATGAACTGCTTAGAGATAAATAACAGCAGATCTATAAGGGAAATTTAGAGGATAATCTTGAAGTGAAGAAGATTTAATTAATCTTATGGAAGATGAATGATTTTCCTCATATTCTCTCCCTACAGAGACCTCTGGAACTGATTAACTCCTTCAAATTCTTTCACCTGTATGACTTAAAGCATAGAAGGAAGAAGACACCCAGTTTTACAGCTGGTCACGT